CAACTGTACTTAAATTAAAAAAAAAAAAAACTTAGGGGCTTCCCTGGTGGCGCAGTGGTTGAGAGTCCGCCTGCCGATGCAGGGGACGCGGGTTAGTGCCCCAGTCCGGGAAGATCCCACATGCCGCGGAGCGGCTGGTTCCGTGGGCCATGGCCGCTGAGCCTGTGCGTCCGGAGCCTGTGCTCCGCAACGGGAGAGGCCACAACAGTGAGAGGCCCGCGTACCACAAAAAAAAAAACAAAAAAAACCTTAAGTGAAAAATCATCAATAAAATAGAAAAAAAAGTGTAGTTGATGGAGAGCAGGAGAAGTAGCTGATCACATGTCACTGGATGGTTAAGTGAATGGGATTTGTCAGTGTGAAGGTCAGTGGTGAGTATCACAGGAGCCTGTCCATGAAGGGGTGGAGGGAAGAACTTGACTAGAAATAGTTCAGCACAGAAAGTGGGAGAGGATTTGGAGACCCAGACTACATTACAACTCTTTCAAGGAGTTTTGTTCCAAAGGGGGCCGAGAAATGGATTGGAAGCTGGAGTGGGGAGAATGGATCATTATATTTAATCTGGTTTGGTTTTTAAGTTGGGGGATATAATGGCAGGTTTGAAGGCTGAGAGGAATGCTGTGGTGGAGGGGGAATAATTGATGGGAGAGCAAGAGGAGAGGTTTTTGAGGAGTGAGTCCCTGTGTATGCACAGGGAGATACCTATTGCCTAAGGGGAGTGTTGGTAGTGGATGGAGTCCTGGACAATTCACCTGCAGTAAGAGGAGGGGAGGTAGATTTCATGGGTCCAGGTGCTGTTACATGGAGAGATGGGATGGTGGGATCTCTTTTGATTATTTCTGTTTTCCTTAGTAAACACCTATCTAGGAAGCATAGTCCCTGAGATGCACGAGCTTGGAAGAGCTAGGGTAGGAAGTTTGAGGGCAAAGGCAAAATGAAATAGTTAACCTGGGACAGTGGGAGAGCGGGTAGACTAGGGAAACGCGCTATGATTGTGGAGCATCATTCGAGCCCTTTAGCTGTTGACGGCCATGAGTAGAGTAACACCAGTCAGCATGGTTATATTTTTCTTCAACCGCACAGATGCAAGATTGAGCGAAGGCAGGAAGTTTCATTGAACCAGGGTTGGAGTTCTGCTAGTTCAGTGTGACATGTAAGAGAGCGGTTAGGGAGTTGAGGGCGTGAGCAAGGAAGTGCTTAAAATGAAGAACTATGGGAACTTCCCTGGTGGTCCAGTGGTTAACACTCCGGGTTTCCACTGCAGGGGGGCGCGAGTTCGATCCCCGGTCGGGGAACTAAGATCCCACATGCTGCACGGTGCAGCCAAAAAGTAAAAAAAAAAAAAAAGAAGGACTATGGAATTTAAACTGGATAAGAAAGAAGTGAAGGCCTAATGGTAGTCAAGTTCAGGGGAACAGTGGTAGGATCAATGGCTGATAGGGTTCTGGTGGGGTCAGAGGTTTTTTGGAGTCAAGGAAGTAGAGGAGGTGAGCTGGAAAAGAGGGGTTGGTGACTGGGGTTGGAATGCTTGAAATTTCAGTGGGACAGGGAAGTTGTGATTGGTAATGACGAGGGCTTAGGGACTGAGGCGAGGTAGACAGATAATGAAAACCCACAGAACATGTTAATAGTGACAGTGAACCAGGAGCCAGAATCCTCAAGGGATGGGGCTAGTGACCCAAGGTCAGTAGACAATTATTAGGAGGAGTAATGGATGGAATGACCTGAACCTGAGGATTTTTAGAGAGAAGAGAAAGTAAATAGTTCAGAAATGGTAGCGAGGCGCAAGGAGTGTGCCTACACCATCACTGGGCCTGGTAAGGGTTATGGAGAAGAAAATTCTCATAGCTTCTGAAGCAGTGTGCTCAGGGAGAGCCAGGTTTCTGTCAGAGCAAGGAGGTAAGTGAACATTCAGGGGACGCTGTTTCAGGGCGAAGGCTTTAGGAGGTGGGGAAATGGAAGAGGACAGAGCAGGGCATGTCGAATTCCATGTGGGGGATTAGAGTGTGGGAAGGAGGGGTGACCTCATAAGTGGAACAAACCCATAAAGGGCATAGTGCAGCAGTTGTCTTGGAGGGCTCAAGGTAGAGAGTGGCGGAAAGGCTGCAAGTGTCGTGAGGAGGTGCTCCCCCACTACAGATAGAGGCCTGGGGAGAGGCTGGTTCCTTTTGAGTGTATGTCTTCGATATCTTTTCAACTCTGTCCTATTATTTTTTAAATTTACAGATCCTTAGTGATTATCAGCACTTTAGATGGCCGAATTGCTGCCTTGGATCCTGAGAACCATGGTCAAAAGCAGTGGGATTTGGACGTGGGATCCGGTTCCTTGGTGTCATCCAGCCTTAGCAAACCGGAGGTGAGAATTTTCTGTTATATGTTGACCGGAAAACTTAGTTCAAATCATCAATTATTATTAATAGCAGGTATTTGCTTAGAGAGCTGTGGCTCAGGGTCCGATTGCCTACGTGTAGGGCATGTCTGTCTCTGACAAGCTATGTCCCGTTGGGGCATTTACTTAGCTTTTCTATTCCTCAGTTTCCCTCCTGTAAAATGAGGTGGGTAATGTCACCTACTTCTTAGGGTTGTTTTGGGCATATGGAGTGAGTTAATTATGTAAATGAGTAATTGAGGATACTATCTGTTATGTCAGTAAATCTCATTATCTGAGCTCGAACATGGTCATAAGTTCTTCGTCTTCCTGCTGTCGTCGTCATCATCACAGGGCCCCTAGACATCATAAAACAAACATAAATAGCTGGGTTTTAATAGTTAGGGATGCATGCTGCAAAACCCCATGAATTATTCACTACATTTTCCCTCAGTTGTACATCCTAATTGTAGACATAACTCATCTGAAGTTTCCTTGGCGCGTAATTTTAGACAAAATGGATTATTTGCAAAAAAAAGAGACCTTGCTTCCAAAACTACTCTGACGTATGACTCCAAAACGTGGGCAGGTGACTTAGCCCCTCAGAACTTCAGTGTCACCATCAGCAAAGTAAGGACGCTGCCCACCTTGATGAGGGGCAGGTTGGGGGCTGTGTTTATTTATTTATTTTTAATTAATTAATTTATTTATTTTGGGCTGTGTTGGGTCTTCGTTGCTGCGCACAGGCTTTCTCTAGTTGCAGCGAGCGGGGACCACTCTTCGCTGCGGTGCACAGGCTTCTCACTGCAGTGGCCTCTCTTTGTTTTGGAGCACGGGCTCTAGGCACGCGGGCTCCAGAGCGCAGGCTCAGTAGTTGTGGCGCACGGGCTTAGCTGCTCTGCTGCCTGTGGGATCTTCCCGGACCAGGGCTCGAACCCAACCCGTGTCCCCTGCATTGGCAGGCGGATTCTTAACCACTGCGCCGCCAGGGAAGCCCGGGGCTGTGTTTAAATGAGGGAAGTCTAGACTCCCCTCATTTAAACACAGCCCGCAACCTGACCTTTTGTCTAGACTCTAATAGATTAAATCTCTCTCCTTTTCTGGAGCTTTACCCTCTTGTTTAAATCATTTAAAATAAGTCCCTCTTTAGAGTTACGACTGCTGACGTGGAAGCAGTCACCTGTTTTCCAGAATACCCTCAGCCTTCTACCTTGTCCCTATGGGATACTCCCTAGGGTACTCTTTTTTTTCCCTTTCATCATCAATCTTTCCCTTTCAAAAAGCTTCTTAGCTGGTATCAAGTTTGGAAAAGACAAAACCTAACATGCGGGGCTTGAGAATGACCTGATTAGTGATGATGGAATTTTCTGATGGGAAAACTGCTCCCAGTGACCCTGCTGCTCTCTAGAAAATCCAGCCTGGATTCCTTTCTGGGGCACCCGGGCAGGTACTTAGGGCGGTGGCACTGCCTAGCCTCCACACTCGCTGTGTGCTAAGCTTTGACTAGACTTTCAGAGTGCCTGTTGCTTACCGGACAGTATACCGGAAACATCTGTTGAGAATTGTGAACTTGTGAATTATTAATATAAATAACACTTTGATTGCAAATTGCCTTAAAAAGTTTGAATTGGATGTCATAGTCAAATGAATTACTACTCAGACCTGAATATTCATTTATTTGTGTCCTCCTGAGGTTATGCTTGGGTATGCACATTTTGCTTTATTTTCAAACTAGACACGAAAGGTGATGAGCAAAATCAGAAGATTGTAAGCTGTTTACATCTGAGGTAACATTATAGTGTGTTGTAGTGGTGCAAAGCATGTGTGTTTCTATAAACTAAAGTATGCACACTCACAGAAACATAAACTGCATGATATGACAAATAGTCGTAATAACCTGAGTGCCATTGAGTGTGTTTAAATTATAAGCAGCTAGTCGAGCTTGCAGATTTTCTTACAATAGCAATTATATTAGCTGTTTTTTAAACTACAGTTGAATATTCTCACCATCCCCAGTCCTTACCATTTTCTGTGGTTTGTTAGGGCTCTTTTGTTTTAAGTATCCTTCTTCCCACTCACCCCCAACCCTTGATCCTTTGGGTAGAATGCTTTGAAATGTTGAATTGCAAGCATATTTTAAAAGTTTGTGTCACCTTTACACAATAAATGCAAAGCTCACTGACCACTTTCCATTTCAGGGAAAGAATTCTGAGACCTCTTTGCATTATCTAGGTTTTAATTTCCTACTTTACACACAAAAAATTTTACTAGATCACTACTGCCCTAAGTTCTTGGGACCATTTCTTGAGACTGTGTGTTTACTGTGTAGATATGCTAATGACAGCATTGTTCCCAGAGCTGTAATATACACACAATGTACTTTACACACCGTGTAATCCTCACAGCCATCCTCCTGAGGTTGATATGCTGGTGTCATTTTACAGAAGAGGAATACAAAGCTCAGAGAAGTTATTTGCTTTAAGTCACAGACCGACTACGTGGTAGAGCTGGGATTAAACCAGGCTTGCCTGACTGTACTCCACTCCACCTGCTCTGGAGCTCTTTCTACATCTTGTATGTTCCTCCCCTTTACAACTCAGGCTGTTCATCCAGTACAGTGGATCTCAAACTTTATGGTTTCAGGACCCTTTACATTCTTAAAAATTACGAAGAGATCCAAAGAGCTTTCTTCCCCATGGGTTATATCTATCTAAACTTAAGCCATATTAAAAATTAAAACAGGACTTCCCTGGTGGCACAGTGGTTGAAAGTCCGCCTGCCAATGCAGGGGACACGGGTTCGGGCCCCGGTCCGGGAAGATCCCACATGCCGTGGAGCGGCTGGGCCCGTGAGCCATGGCCACAGAGCCTGCGCGTCCGGAGCCTGTGCTCTGCAATGGGAGAGGCCAGAGCAGTGAGAGGCCCGCGTACTGCCAAAAAAAAAAAAAAAAAAAAAAATGAACCCCATTGCACTGCACGTAGCATAAATAATATATTTTTATGAAGAATAAGTGGGGACTTCCTTGGTGGTCCAGTGGTTAAGAATTCACCTTCCAGTGCAGGGAGTGTGGGTTTGATCTCTGGTCAGGGAGCTAAGATCCCACATGCCTTGGGGCCAGAAAACCAGAACAGAAGCCATATTGTAACAAATTCAATGAAGACTTTAAAAATGGTCCACATCAAAAAATCTTTAGAAAAAAAGGAAAGAAAAAGTGTATTTCCCCAAAAAATAATTCAATGAGAAAAGTGGCATTGTTTTATATTTTTGCAAATCTCTTTAATTTCCAGTTTAATAGAAGACAACTTGATTTTCCTATATGCTTCTGGGTTCGATATGTTGCGTTGTTGTTTTGGTTGAACTGTATGAAGAATAAAATCCGTATGTAGGGGGGAGAAAGGGAGTATTTTAGTAGTCTTTTCAGTTGATTGCGATCATTCTTTTTTGGTTCTACACGAGAACAAGTGGAAGTTTCTGAAAGGTGAGTTGCCCCGCGGAATCTGAAACCATATCATCGGACTCTTGTGCTCTGTGCCAGTAACATCCATTGGTCTGTCTTGCCTTTTACTCCTGCATGATTTTCTAACATCATTTGGAAAATATTGATTCACTGAGTTACACAGATCTTCCAAATGTTGACATATTTCCTTATAGAATATTTTGTAAACTCAAATTTTTTTACTGTCACCACTGATCTCATCAGAAGAGTCTTCCAGAACTGGGAAGCTGTCAAGCTCACATGGGTAGATACAGCTATTCCAAAATTCTCATTTTCGCTTGAAAACTTGGATTTTATCATTAACACAGTCAGTTGTTTTCCTTGAAGTGAGAGGTTCACTTTATTTTTGAGAAAACGTCTGCCAAATACCCAAGTCTCATCACTGCTGCTTTTCTCTCAATTTTTCAAGTACAAATAGAGCTTTGTGAGCAATGCCACTAGTTTCAGCTCAAAACTCAGTCACACAGGTGCTTTTCCTCAAAACATGCTTCAGTTTGTGGCAGAAGTCCTTAATGCACACCTCCTGGTTAGTCAGGCAGAATAGTAAAAATATATGTACTCAGGTCAGAGTTTAATGAAATTAACTTTTATTGTTTCATCAGAACATTCTCGAGTGAAACTTTTTTCTTTTTTTTTTGCTGCGAGTGTGTGACAGTGAAGATGCCAGGACTCTGAGTTTGGTACCTTATTCATGCTTTAGTCACCGTTGCTTTTATACCATCAAAGCAAATAGCACCCCAGGGAAAGGCAAATAGCACCTTCTTATGAAAACCATTTGACCCTCTGCACCTCAAACAGAATCCACAGACCACATTTTGACAACGACTGATCTAGTATATAATAGAAATATCACCATTATGAGAGTATTCGTAAGGTTATAAACATTAACAAGGAGAGAGGACTTGTTTCGAGCTTGGGTCACCTGTTATTCAGCAAGGTGTGTATCGCTCAGTATCTAGAAGTTATGTTCAGAAGCTGGACAAAACACCACCAAAAGAGGAACAAAAACTGCTATTTGAAATGCCCCAGATTGGATGCAGTACACTTCTAAATGCATCTGATAGACAATTTTATGATGGTCCCTAACTTTTTGGGAGAAATAGTTAATTTTCTCTGTCTGAAGCTCAGCGTTTGCTAGGATAGGTAGTGTGCAGAGGAGAGCTGGGTACAGCAGGCAGGAACTGGTGGGGAGGTGTAGCAGGAACCACCCAGGTGACAATTGGAGGCTCCTCTATTAGAATGTCAGTTTCTCCACCCTTTCATCAAGAGTGGTACAAAGATGAAACCAATTAAACTCAGAAGACCAGGGAAGATGTATTCTCTGTGCATTGATTCTTAAAGTGACTTATCTAATGAGAAGCTGAAGGCTAAAGGATTTGATAGACTGTATAATAATTTTTAAGTTATTAATGATAGAGGAATTGGTTATGGATCACATGTACTTTTGCTAGAATAATAAAGTAAAAGCATCACAGGAACTTTGTAGGCCGTG